TAATAAAATGATACAGGCCCAGGAATAGATCCCAGAGGTACTCCACTATTAATATTTAACCAATGGTGCTTTTAGATGTTTTATTCTGTTTTATAATTGTGTATATGTATTAATCAATTTTGTTTGTAACCAGGTTGCTGTGTACTGCAGACTTCTGCCCAGGTCCCCCTTGAAAATGAGATCTGGATCTCAATGGGGTTTACCTGGTTAAATAAAGTAATAAAAAAAAAATGTCATTCAACTTCTTAATTCCAGGATTTGTTAGACGGTTACTCATAAAACTGGTCTGGAAATAGACCAACAGGTTCGGTCTAAACAAAAACTTGCAGTTTTACTTCAGTTTTTAATTTTTAAATGAATAAGTTTGCACTCAAAATGAAGACCACAAAGATGGTGAACTCTAACAAAGAATCTTCTTTACTAAGATGTTTTTTTTAATAATTGACATTCTCTGTTCCTCTATATTTCTAGTTAAATCCGTATGCAGTGTGGATAATTTGTTCAGTCAGGCTGTAAAAAAACAAGCAAAATAAAAACTATAAAAAGAAATTGTTAGGTTGAAGCTACACTTAAACATATTTTGTCCTCTATCCTGCTGTTTTTAAAGACGTGGCATTCAAGTAAACCATTTTCCTAATATTCTCCTGTAAAATCTTAAACAAATCTCCCTTAAAAGCAACAATAAACAGAAAAAAAATCATGGCTTGATGCATTCGTTAAAAGGCGCAGCATTAAAAAAAATAAAAACTGGTCAGATCGGTGTTGACAGTAATCAAAAGTGATAGTGAGTGCCAAAGTATATATGTGCAAGATATTTGCACAATAGAGGACGACATCATGGGATTTATTACGCAAGATGATTTTAGTCAGAATTTTCTCACAGCATTTGAGCCTACTAAATAAACAACTCAAAACGGTCATAATTGAAGCAGCTCAAATATTCAGATTTTCCAATATATTAAGGTTTGTTTAATGTTTTTTAAACAAACTTTGATTGAATATAAAGATAAAAAAAATATTTTTTTAACTGCAAAACAATGTAAGAATCAAAAAAGTTAATCATTTCCAGCTAACAAGCACTGCTTTGTTGAACAAAACCACAGCGGATGGAAAAAGTCAGGGATATTGCTTTATAATCGGGGAGCAGAAACTTGTTTTTTTCCCCAATTTATGAGCTCAGTTACTGGAAAAATACTGCAGCAAAACAAACAAAAACTGTTACTGGAGTAGTTTATAGGTGGTATATGAAAATGAGATTTACAAGACAACCAGGTCCTTTATTAAGCCCCTTCATGACGTACACTAATTAGTGGTGTGTTTGTCTATCCTTTTATTATTTTCTCAAAGCTGAAAATGGGATTTTTTTTTTTTTTTTGTAAAAGTTTATGTTCCAGGATTATTTTGTGCATTTCTTGTCTGCTTCTTTCAAAGTCCATGTTTGATTACACTAAACAAGCTTTACTCATTTGCATATCATTTGCCTTTTATTTGTATTGAGGAGCACCAGCAATCCTACAGGTCCAATCTACTTTCTTAAACCAGCCCAACTAGCCTTTGTACATGTATTAATAAAAAGGTTTATATACATCAATGTGTAAAATGTTCTTATAAAATCATGAAAAGCATCAGCTTGTGTTTGTTTATAAATGTGGCCCTTAATTAAACAGTACAGGCCAGTTCTGAGATAAAGGCTCTCATAGCAAAGATAAAAGAAAATAGTGGCGACAGATGATCGTGTGAAAGAAAGCGATAAGGAATTTGGATTGACACAAGCAAATCAATTTACACATCTCATTATCTCAATCTCTTGATTTCAAACACATTTTAAAAACTGCTCAAACAACCCATAATGGCTGTATTGGCACATGACTAGGAAATAATTGAAGAGTGGGTGGAAGGAGGGAGCGGGTACAAATACATATTTCTTACCCAACATAAATTACCTAAATATTTTCTTTCCTTTTTTTTCAGGATCGAAGTTCCTCATAGCAGCAGCATTTTTCGTTGTGTCAGCTGCCATCTTTCTTTGGCCTCTGTTCATCAAATCGCCCTGCCTGATAAGCGTGACAAACTTGCCTGACAAACCAAAACTCATCGGCCACAGAGGCGCACCAATGGTGAGCGTCCTATTCAACCTGGCTCTAAAACACGGTGCAAGTTGCATTATTGTCTTGCAGACATTAGGAAAGAGGTGCAAAGGTTGAGACATGTTGCGTCCGTGTTTTTCTGGTTTGTTTAGTCAGTTGTCGTATTGTGAGATGGTTAAAACAATTTCGTGAGTGTTGCTTGTGTTCCGTCAGCTGGGCAAGACAACTCAATCAAAACGATTTCGATCAACCAGGAAGTAGTCTGTGTCGGTCTGTTTTAGACAAAATCAAACCGTTTATAGTGTAATATAACGCCGGGTCGTATTAAAGTGTGATTTAACGTGTTTAAGTGTGTCTCACTCGTGTTCTTGCTTTCAGCTTGCCCCCGAAAACACAATGATGTCGTTTCAAAAGAGCATCGAGTGTGGCGTGACGGCATTCGAGACAGACGTTCAAGTCTGGTACGGTGAAAAGTTTTTTCTTTTCTTTTCTTTTTTTTAACCATTCAGCCTTTCAGCAAGTGCTCAAGCTGACATGTAAACATTTAAGATCACAATGAAGTGGAGATCTTTAAGGGAAAAAATATTAATTTGGTTAATTTTACAAACTAAACTATTTTCTGTAATTGTAGTTGAGAGTCATTCACAACTCATACTCCCAAGTACTTCTCATTGTCTAAAAACTTTGACCACATCTTCAACCACAACTGTTGGAGTTACAATTGTTTGACTGATAGCAAAATATTTATTGAACCGCAGGACAGATTTTTTTTTATAAAGGAACTACATGTACACTGAATGTATCTCTACAACTGATTTAACTTTTACAGTAAAACCAATTCAAGATGGCTGCCACAGCTGGTCAACGTTAACACAAAAATGGTTAAAACTCTATCAGTTTTACAAATTTTGAGCTAAAATTTGATATGGTGGTAGCTGAGAGTAACAACATGACGTCTCAGTGTTTCGCATGATTGTGCTTAATGTTATCTGAGTTTAATCAGAGCGGCTGCACTGCTGGTATTTTCCATTATAAAATAAACTTTGTCTAAATCATGATCCTTCAAGGATCAGTGGGTCCTTCTTAGTTACTGATGCAATATTATTTGTCTTTTTTTAGTAACGATGGAATTGGCTTCTTGATGCACGACCATAATGAAGGGTTTTTAGAGAGAACAACAAATATAAAACAGAAGTTCCCTAACATATACTTACCCAACAGCAGTTATGTGAATTTTACGTTTCTGCGTGGTCTGAATGCGGGTGAATGGTTCCTAAAGGTGAGCACTGTGCCTGTATAGGTGTTTGTTGCTAATCAAAATTTAAGAAAAAATAGAAATGAGCTACATGCTCAAAAAATAAATAAATAAATAAATAAATAACTGTCCAATTTATTTTCCAGACAGATCCTTTTAACTCCATACACCTGCTTTCAAAAGAGGAGAAAGAAACCGCCAGGAATCAGATTATCCCCTCACTGCTTGAGCTCCTTCAACTCGCCAAGAATCACTCCATCTCGGTGATCTTTGACTTGTATAGTTCTGGAAGAGATGATGTAGAGCGCACACTTGAAACCATCTTGAGTTCTGGCATCGACCATCACCTGGTAAGTTCAGTCCATCGTGTGGATTGTGGTGAAAAGATTGCAGTCAAAAACATTTTTTCTTTTCTTGTCTTGGTAGATTTACTGGCTACCTCCAATAAACAGAAGCTACGTAAAGCGAAGAGCTCCGGGTTTCATCCAGATATACAACAACGAAAGTGAGATGACTGATGAAGGAGCACACCACTTGAACATGATGTACAACAATCTGAGTACAGAAAAAATCAGGTACAGGAGAAGCACAGTGACAAAATGAATCCAGATAATTTGCACTGTATTTTTGCCACAGGGTACGCACAGCGGCGTGGTAATTATCAGCATGTTTAGCATGCCCAGACACAGTGCTGCTTCTTTATTTAGACATGTGAGATCGACCTTCAGGCAATGCAGTTTAAACCAATTCTCAATCAGAAGGTTGTTATACCGATGAGCAAACCAGCAATGAAACACTTAACGGAGGAATGAAAAATCAGTGTTATGACATGGCTACGTTCACACTGCAGGCAAATGTGACCCAAATCAGATTTTTTTTTTCTTTTCTGCCCCATGCGACCCATATCTGAATTTTTAAAATGATAGTCTGAATGCAACAAATCAGATTTTTTTTAATCAGACCCAGGCCTTTTCAGTATGTGGTACTAAATCAACATAAACTAAGCAACTAAACATATCTGATGTTTTTCAAAGCGACTGCAATGTGAACGGTCATGTTGCGTTACATCCGACTTTTTCTTCACAAGGGGGTGAAGGATCAATAAGACACTAACCTCAAGTCTCGCTGTTTAAATCTGTAGCTCCATGTGTTTACAGCTCAAAAACAGAAGTCCAGTTTCTTCGTCATCTTACTTTGAATTTTCCATGTAGATGGTAATGTCCAGCCTCGGTCGTGGAGCGTATCGATCCTAAAGTTACTCGGTCGATAATTTAATTCCAGCTCGTTGCTTTGTTCCAAAAATAAAAAGCTTCACCGGAGCTTCCAGTCAGAGGCAGGTTCAGATATAAACCGTGAACTAAACAAGCATGTCGGATCATTTTTAATCGGCTCTGATTGAACAACAACTTCAGATTCGACATGCTAAAAGTAGCATCCATGCTAACTCTTTAAACAGCTGGCTGAATGAGACGTTACGTCTTTTTCTGTGCATGCGGGTCACATCAGTGTAGTGTTCACATTAGAGTCTGATGGAAGTTGCATTTAAAATGTAATATGAACGTTTACGCCAAAAAAAATCCGATTTTTTTTTTTTTCTTTTTCAAAAAATCTGAATTCTCCCACTATCCTTGTGGCGCGCTAACAAAGCTAGCAAGTTAAAGTCATGGCTGTCTCTTAGTGAGCCAGCCAGGCCACCCACAAACACCATCTAACGATCCCACTCCAACCCCCCCCACCTTTGCCCCCGCAACCACCGCTTAATCAGCCACACCAAACATGAGTGGGGTCAAGTGGACCCCACAAAGACAGCAGGGTTATTAAGACCTGCAGTGTGAACGTAGCCATGTTCCCAAGAAAACCGCAAGGTGTCGTATTCCGAACAATTTCACACACAAGGGCAGCGAAGCAGTAATGCAGCAACATGGACCGTTGCCGCAGCGGCATTCTTTCCTCAAACAAGTTTTTCACATACCTCTGCAGATTAAAACTTATGACTGACAATGTTTACACTCGCGTGCGTTTGTTCATCCCTGTTCACTCGCAGGGAAAACGTCCAAGTTGGCGTCGATCCTGTTTGTCTGCTGGCGAAAAGCCTCATGAACCGCTTGACAGATTTCAATGAAACTTTCAGAATGTGATCAGTGGATGTACGGCAAACTCTGATTAATCTTTTTGAACTCAATTCAAGTCTGCCCCTACAGCTAATTGACATTAGCCAACTTAAAATCACTCTAACACAGTCAGTTTTACAGATATAACACTAAAACTGTGTGTGGTAGTAGCTGAGTCATCCTCAGCACATACTCCAAGTGCAAACACACCGTGCGTGATTTAGCATGAGATTGTGCATGACTTCATCTGCAAGGTTTGACCAAAAAAGAATAATAATAAAAATAATACATTTTATTTGAAGGTGTTTTTCATGGTACTCAAGGACTGTACAGTAAACTACAATAAAAAATGCATTAAAGAATAAAAGAATATAAATAAAAATAACAATAAAAAATAATACAAATAGAGGTGATAAGAGATGGAGGTTAAACTGAATTTGCTGGTTTAAAAAAACAACAACCTGTCTTTTCTTATCATAAGATGATCTTAGTTCAAAACTTTAGCATGAAGAAAGGTGACATTCCTTCAAGGAATGCTGTGTCTCTCATTTTCAACATTATTGGCAGGGTTAGTTACTATGACACTCAAAAGTGTTGCTTCTGCCCCAGAAGCAACACTTTTGAGGGAACAACGTAAAAAAGTAAGCGAAAGGAAAGAGGCACTGTCCAAAACAAATTTTTGATTAACATTCAAGATAATTTCAAGAAAGATCAGATAACACAAATGAGGTGGAAAGAATGCTGTGGAAAGAAATCTTCAAACTTTAGCTAATTAACAACCCTAAATGACTGAAAACAAATCATTATGGCCTGTCACGTTTTGTCTGCATTCCTGGGTTGGAAAGCATATACAAGGGTGTATAAGGGTGAGTGAAAACTGAGTGATTATATGAACAGGTGGCTGATGAGACCATTTTGGAGAGTGGGGTGGGGTGTTTTATGTATTTTTTAATTGCAAAATGTTTTATTTTGTATTTTTATTTTTCAGTTTTTTTCTCCCTCTTATTTCTATTTTACTGTTGGATGTTTTGTTTTTATTGTTTGATCGGACTACAGATGTAAATTAGCCTTAGGCTAAATCTGGTGCAATGCATCAAATTGGTTTAATTGCACACTGTCCCGAATAAATAAATACATCATAAAAAATGTAGCCTAGCTCCCCCAATTGTGCTAGGTACAGTTGCAGCATCTCTGCTGGGAACTGAGGCCAGACCAGTTCTGGGGGTCTGACCGGCATGGCAAATTTCCCCCCAAATCTAGGCCATGCCGCTTGGCTCGATTTGACATCAGCTACTGTTGCTTGTCAATTGGTCCACTGACCGTCACACAGATGACAGTAACTTTGTGCCATTTGTTTGCAGTGACTTGTGTTTTTTTTCCCCACACGAGTTTAATTATGGGGTGGCTGTGGCAGAGTGGTTAGAGGAGTCGTCCTGGAACCGGAAGGTTGCCGGGTCGATCCCCTGTCCAGCTGTCTCAGTTGTTGTGTCCTTGGGCAAGACACTTCACCCCTAAAGCTGGAAACATACTCGCTCCGACGCCAACGGGCCGACGCGTGGTCACGTGGTTGTTCGGCAGTCAATTTCGCACAGACCCTTCATAGTCCCTGAGACACCCCGCGCCGAGCTCGGGAAACCCCCCTCCCGCTGAAACATACGTCACTGCATGGAGTTCCCCCGCAACGGCCGACAATGCAGGAAAAAAAAGTCAGACTCGTCACTCACCCGACGTGTTTATCCGCATCTGTCCTGGTTAAAGCTCCACAGTTTTTATCAGTCAGATTCCTCCATGCACGTCTGTTTTATCTCCATTCATGAGTTTTTCACTGTTTGACTATCTTTATAAAACTCTGCTTCCTAGTATCAGTCGGCCCTGGGAGCAAGTCGGGGTTTTTTCTTTCCCTTTTTTTTACCGAGTGGTTGAAGTCAGCGTAGCACTTTCAGCACAAACAAGCACGCCATGAGCTTTTCTCGGTTTGACTCTTTATAAAACTCTGCTTCACCAGTTGGCTCTACAAGCAAGTTTTTTTTTTCTTTTGAGTGTCCGAGCGCTTTCAGTTTCAGCACAAACACGCCCACGAACTTCAGACCAATCAAACATTACCATTGACACCGGAGGGGGGGTCAAATGTTCTGCCGGCGGGTTGTGCCAAAAGGGGCTGTCGAACCGACACTGCGAAGCCCGGTGACGTAATTTTCGTCATTAAACTGTGACAACCAGTGCCGACGTCGACAGTTCGGAGCAAGTATGTTTCCAGCTTAATGCCTCTGATGCGTGTCCCATCAGTGTATGAATGTGATTGGCACTGATTAGTCTCCATAGATAATTGTACATGTTAGCTTTGTAGAGACCTAATAGAGTGCTGCGTGAATGGGTAAATGAGGACACAGATTGTATTGTGAAGTGCTTTGAGTGTCCTGGATGGATAGAAAAGCGGATAGAAAAGCGCTATGTAAGTACAGTCCATTTAACTACACAACAGCAGTAGTGAGCTAATCAAACAACAACTCTCTAACACTTCAGTAGCTAAAATTAGCTTAGCGTTCTCTGTCGTCCTGTCCTCTCATCTTAAGCGTCACACACTGCTAATGGTACTTTTCCTTCGGGTTTGGTGTAGTCCATTATTGTTGGGTCACAAACAAAATGAAATAAGATTCACACATGTTTAATTTTATGATGCTGCTCTCTGCTCAATGCAAACAATAAGACCGGAGGTGGGCCTTATAACACAAAAATACCAATAGAGACAGACAACCATTCACTCTCTCACACCTGGGGACATTTTAGAGCAGTGTTTCCCAAAGTTGGAGTCAGGACCCAAAGTGGGGTCCCGAAAAATCAAGGTGGGGTCCTGAAAAGATTTTCTGAATTAATTACATTTTTGCCTTAGTTGTTATAAAGGAGTGAAATGTTTATCATCCAAAATTAGCTGGGACACAGGTCTCTGCTACTGTTATTTTGTGGGTCAAAAGCTGAAAAGTTCGGGAACCACTGCACTTTGGTTCCAAAAGTTGGGCTTGGGACCCAATTATGGGTCATGAAGCACCTTGGATAATCACCAGAAATCAATTTAAAGGATAATAAAATAATTGTTGATGTAATATTTTCCCTATAACTATTACAAAAACACAAAATAAGTATAAATAAGTATTTATATTTGTGTACAAGCTGTTTAGATTGTCAAAAAGCCTATGATTTTAGGGTTATTAACAAAGTTCGTGTACTCTGACCAGTAATAATTGGGGTCACAAGTTTTTGCCATGAATATTTTGTGGGTCAGAAGATAAAGTTTGGGAACCAATGATTTAGAGTTACCAGTTAGCCTAACAATTTATGTTTTCGGTCTGTGGGAGGAAACCAGAGTGGCTGGAGAAAATCCATGCATGCACAAAGGGAACATTAAAACTAAAACAAAACTAAATTAAACCATCTGAGCAGATCTGAAGAGCAGGAAATGCAAGGCAAGATTGAAATCTAAAATAAATACAACCAAGAATGTTGTTAAAGGCTTCCATGAAAGTGAAGGAAATTTTGTAACTGATTAACTAAATGTTAGATCTAGTATTGTATTTTCATACTTTCTGATCATTGCAGCCATAAGGTTTAAACTGTGTGTGTGTGTGTGTGTGTGTGTGTGTGTGTGTGTGTGTGTGTGTGTGTGTGTGTGTGTGTGTGNGTGTGTGTGTGTGTGTGTGTGTGTGTGTGTGTGTGTGTGTCTCATCATGTGTTCTTTGCTGTAACATAAACAAAAGTTGGTTACATTCTGACATGAAAGTTACCACCTTCAGGAGACATACTGTATGTTAAAAGGTTGTTTTATCATTATATAAGTCAAAGTTTTTTTGTTTGTTTTGCGAGTCTCTGCTTAGAGCAGACTGGGATAGTCTGGGCTGTTTTGCTACTGATGAGGGCTCAAGACCTTTTTTACTCTGGTCTGTTGACGGTGTGTGCTGCTGGGCTGATTGGAGTGAGGGACGAGAATAAAACCTTTTTTAGAAGATATTTAACTATTTTCTGTGAAGTCATTTAGACTTCCATTTATTGATCACGATTTCCCTTCAAAAGTAATGCACAGAATTATCCTGATTCATCTCAGTAATCCAGGTAGAAAAAAATCAAAAAGAAAAAAATAAGTAGGCCCTCTGGATGGGTTCTTGTTTAATGAAATGTTTCGTCTCTCCTCCAAGAGAGTCTGAGTTTCAGGTGAACTCAGCCTTATAAGCACTGCCTCCATGTGGTGGAGAAACGTTTTGATGCACAGAATTGCACATAAACACTCATCAGCCACATTAACTCCTCTCAGTTTTACTTGATGCAAATGTGTCATTTAAATGACACAAAAAAACAAAAGAGCGAGCAAAACCTGAAATGACACAAAATCATAGCTTTTATTTGCAGCTAGATTAAAACAGACCATCTAGTTAAAATGCAACGTTCTGCTTGAAAACTCTAGTTTTGGCATTCATATGTATATGTTAGTGTGACACATCCCACCCACCTACACCTTGCTGCAGACCAAACACTCGTCCTCATGGCAGGATAATAAGCTGTGCCGCAAAACAAAACCAGCTCAGGACGCAATAATGCACCTTTAAACTGTTTTGTTTTAATGTTTCAGCTCACAATTACGATATATCCACATAAAATATGAACTCATTTATGACTTTTTCTTTTAATTTGCTTCTCCTTTATCAAAATGGCCCCGGCGTCAGCTGTAGTTTCTGACGAGTTTTTAATCTGACAGGGAACTTCGGAGCAAGAACATTTCGGTGAACCTTTGGACTGTCAATGAGCGCTGGCTGTTCTCTCTGCTGTGGTGTGCAGGGGCCAGCTCTGTCACCACCAACTCCTGCCACCTCCTGAAGGACATGGAGCAGCCTCACTGGACCATGGTGAGCAGCATGAACATCCCACAGAGCTGATAGATCAATCAGTTTCACTTGTTAAACGTGCAGCTTTCTCTTTTGGGACATGCAAGAAACCCTTTGACCCTACATGCCATGCCTGTGTGTTTCAGGAACCTTCTACATACAGAACGATATGGATTGTAGTGAATATTTCATCCATTTTGATAATGATCTTTCTTTGCATTCTTCAGCAGTAAGTAAAGCAGATCATTTCTTCACAAATGGTTGCTTTATTATTTTTTTTCTTTGTTTAATTATGTTGCTGATAGTTGTGAACTGATTCATCTTTTTAATGTTTTCTACCAGGAAACTGTACTGCTTTGGTCAAAAACAAGGTATGATAGGTTCTATTTATGTTTCCAATGTTTTTTAATCCTAACAATTCATTTAATTAATGCTAAATAAATTACTTGAGGATGATTTTTTTGTATTGCAAAACTATTGACATTTCTAACTTATTTTATTATAAATTTGTAAAAGTTGTATAGGCTGTAAAACTTTGAAAACAGCAGCAGAATAGCCTAAAATTTCCATAGTAAATCATAAAAACAGCTTGTTTGATTTCTAGTCAACAAAATTAATGTTTAAAATTTGTGCTTTGTTTTTTCACAAGCTAAGATGTGACATTAACGACTGCTTTGTAAATGAAATTGCATCCATTTCATCATCAATAAGTGCCACGTTGGTAAATAATGATTTGGCTTTTTATTTTTACTTGTAACAGAAACACAAAACAACAACTCTCTGTGGAAAGAAATGCTTTCTCTTACCGGGAATCCAGCTTGACGGTCTTCAGTGGCAGATTTTTCAGGCTCAAAGTCGTCCTGTGTACGTTTCTGCTCTCACAACTGAGTGGTGCTCCATCAGGGAAAGATTGATTACATTTGTGTCATTTGTTATAAAGCTGTGAAACCAAGAACGTTTTTTTTTTTTTACATAATGTATATTTTTCATGTTTATTCATCGGTTATAACTGAAAATACACATGCGTTTTCTTTCAGCATTTAAAATGTAATTTTGATTTAAAGAAAACTTCATGGCAGGAAAAACATGTCTGCAATGTCTGAGCCAATCATATATAATTTTACACTGTAGTGTGCATGTTTGTAACTCTCTGCTGCCATCTGTTGTGTTAGAGGTGGAATGAAAATTAAAAAGTGATGCATGGTTAATCATTTCTGTTTTTGCATAAACTCCATATTTGTACAACAGGCTTTGTTTTGCAATCATCATTAAGCCTCAAGAAGATGCTGTTTTTGATGCGGGCATAGGATTTAAAATTAAAAAGTTAAATTGAAAACAAATTTTATTACTTTACCATTTCTACAACAAAAATCTGAGTCAGCATAAATGAAAAATGTTTATGGTTTTTAATCAAACTTCTAGAATGTGGTTTCTTTTTGCTGAAAAAATACTTCTCCAATAAAGTCATTTAAATCAAACTTTGTACTCTGTTTTATCAACGTAATGGGTAGTCATATTTTTTTTCACCAATTTATATTTAAAGTAATTCAGAAACTTTAACATGTTACAACAGAAAAAGGCAATAAGTTTAGCAAAAATAAGTCCACCTCATTTTGTGTTGCTTTTTTTTCTTTAATTTTTACACAACAATCTCAAATCATGACATGAGAATGTAGATTTATATATTTGCAACTTAATTTCTATGATGTAAAAATTGAAAATTTAAATGTCATGAATTTGCTTTTTTTATATTGTGCTTATTCAGAATAAGTCATTAATATACACAATGGGTTACTGCACGTTGTAAATGAATAAGTACAAAAACTAAGGTAATTAAATTTACTTTTTTATTTCAATTTCTGCAGCGCAATTTCAATTATGTCTTTCTGTAATTATAATTTTGGTCTTTGGGGAAAATGGCTAATTATTTCATAACATGGTTTTATTTGATATGGGAAATGCTCATACACAATGGCTTCTTGTAATTTCATAAAGCGTAATAGTAATGATATGAACAATAGAAAATAGAATGATGAAAAATAAACTGATATGAAATATAACAGTGATTTATTTTGGGGTGGGGGGGACAACAAAAAGGTAAAAATGATTACTGACAGCTCTTGGCTAGTTTGAAAGAGAAAACAGAATACAGATCTCTGCAGCAGAATCAATCTTTAATACCTTTCTCCTACATTTCCCACAATCCACTTCGAACGCCGACCGTTGTGTGGAGATTTGGGTGTGTTGTGCTTGTAGCTGCTATGGTAGCGGCTAATGTAGTCTCCATCCGCTAGCCTCGAGGAGGGATGAGGAGCCGGCTTAACAGCACCGGTAAGGCAAACTTATTGAAACTGCTAGCGTGTCGTAATTTTATTTTTCCAAACTTGTCACCCACACTCTCGGTTAAAGTTGGTTAACTTGAGCTATCTCAACAGATAACGGTTTCATCCACAGAGCTAACCAATCCTGATTCGTAAAGTCGGTGGAGTTTTCCTTTAACTGTGATTTTTTTAAGCGTCCCTTGAACGCACCGCAAGATGGCGCACATTTCAAAAGAATGTTAACGAGGCGACTTCATCATGGTGATAAAAAGTGACGAAATTAACGAACACAAACTTAACAATACTGTTGGTAGTGCAGCGGATAGGCGAGGCAGGCTTCAAGCAACATATTTTCTGTTTATTTGTTGTTGTTTTATTCGTGCAGTGTTAGTGAAGCTGGGTCAGCGGGTCTCTTACCACGAAAAGGCGAGGCATGAGAGGGGAGGAGGATACTGTCAAGCTCCAGAACTTCTGGAAAGTTAATATGAAGTAAACAAAATATTTTTGCCACATTTTCTTTTTATCACAGCGAGCTGCCGTGGATCATACCGCTGAAGCAGTGACTTTAGGCAGAAGTGGAGCGTTTTTGCAGCTGGATTTAAAACTCAAGATTAGTTTTTCTATATATAAAAACGAGCGACAGTTAACTGCGGGATTGATCAAAAGTAGCGACTCATGGTATTATTTCATCCTAAAGTATCCTAAGTTATTGGCTTTTCGTGTCGCACGCCATGATGGTGCATAAATATGGTAAGTAAGGTCTGAACTCTAACGTGTCGTTTTTGTTTTTGCTGTAAAAAAAATCCAGTTGAACATTTTCAGGTTAATGCTCATTAAAGCTATTGTTTGGCTCTTTTGTGCAAGACACTTTCAGCTGGAATCCCAGGAGGAGTCTGAGATTTTGGCCCCTCAGGGAATCAACAGTTAAAGCAGGATTTCCCCTCATGGGCTTCAGTTTATTTTTCACAGGGGTCTTTATTGCTCTTGGTTATAATGTTCACAATGTAGGACACTTTACCTTCGTGATGAGCATTTTCTCTTCTGCCTTCCTCACCACCCACTGGGTTCAACAACACACAGCAGTGTTATTTTGTTGGGTTATTTTTTAAACACTTTTTTAAAATCTTATCGATAAAGTCTTGCATGTCAAGGAAATGCCAACAATTATTATCATTATTATTTTTATAGGTATTAGAGTTGAATTGACACAGTAGTAAAGAAAGTCAACAAAAATGAATAATTTCAGTTTCAGAAGAAATTATTCTAAAATATTTAAAGGAGACATATACAAATCCACATTTTTAGCCATTAAAGGCATTTTGTTTTGTACTTGGAGCCTCTAGGAAAGCAGAAAATTTAAATGTACCATACTCTATTAGTGTTGCATAGATGTCTTCATATGTTTTGTTTGGGTCATATTTTTCAACCTGTTAAGTTTTATTTTGGATGATATTTTCTGAACTGTTATGTCAAAGTATTTACGACAGAGCTGCCAAATAATGACAGGACTTACCAGCTACAGTTTGGTGGTCTTCTTTCTCCTCTGGCTCTGTGGATGGACAAGTCTTACTTTGTTGACTTCTTTTAATTAAATTGTAAGTAAATTGTTTCTGTGCCGCTATGTAGTCGTAAACCCCTCAATCAACCTAAAATGGACCTCTCTGGAAGCTGAAGGGGGGCAGGGTGTGAATTGCCTCATTTGAATTTAAAGGAACAGCAACAAAACGAGTTGATATGAGACACACTTCAGAAAAAGGGCTGAATGTGGGGCTTGTGGTGTTACAATAAGGAGGAATTCAGACTAAAGCTTTGCGTTTTCACTTTACGTAGACCCCAACTGAATGATTTAAATTCGCCAATGAATAATTTAAAAACACGACATGTCTCCTTTAAAAAAAATGGACAATGCAAGACATTTGGAGTCACCAAAACCTTTTCTCCCTCATGATTTGCTTGCATTTCACATTATAGATTGGTAACAACAGTAAGTTGATTAATAGTATCATGGTAGCCTTTAATAACATCATGCATTTTTGTCTTTTTTTGGTCCCTTACTTTCGTACCTTTATATAATCACTTCAATGTCAGTTTATAGCTATTTAAACATGTGTTGTGATGTTCTGCTGCTGTTTTGAGTATGTGCATATATTTTGTGATGCAGACACAGAGAGGGCGGTGGGGCTGCTCAGACAGTACCAGGCCAACCTGACCAGCCCAGAAGAACAGGCCTTGAAGACCAGTGTTGGCAAAGTGTCCGCCATCCTGGATAGTCAACTCTTCCAAGCTCTTCTCGGTAAGATAAACGCCCACAAAACCGCTCGTTCTGAGACAGAGTGGGCTTCACAAAACTCTGCCCTACAGCTGAAATTAAAGGAGGCATTTTTGAACACATTTCGCAGCGCATACTTCCTAAATGACGGCTGCAGGCAGAAACAGGATGTAGCCAGGGTCAGGTTATATTAATTTGTATTGGATGTTAACTGAGTCTAAATGTTTCCCAATTAAGTTTTATGAAAGAGGCCTTTCAGTTTGCCTCACAGAGGTTTGCTGTGTATCCTCCTCCTGTGTAGCATACTCAGATTGTAATGAAATTCTCATTAAAGCGCCACAAAACACAGCATATATATATATACAGTATGGACAGAGCTGTTTTTAACCCAGTCTATTTAAAAATGCTGCAATTCTTCTTTTGTTTTTCTTTATGAAGCTTGTGCTTTTCTAAACACAACTGTTCCTCTGAAATTTTAATTTTTCAGTGACTAATTACAATTTTCTTACCATGCAGATGATACACTTATTCCTGCATAAGCAATACCGTTCTCTTTCAGGATCAGATAAAATATTTTTTTTTCTTTTTTTTGGGATGGGGGGGGGGTTTACAACGTGAATATTTCTTTTAGAGCAGATAAACACAATACTTCAGTTTAACCAATGGTTCAGTGGTTCTTTTAATTACAACAGCCATGTTCTAATGATCCTCGCCCTCGGGTCTGCCATTGCTTCTGCTGACCCACTGCTGCTCCTTTGCTGGGAATCTGAGGGGGAGGGGAGCCATGACTCAGGCCTCAGTTAAAAAGAAACACAGTATGCTGTTGTTACTAGTGATGCAAACAGACAGGGCTTTAAAGTATGGTTTCCTGCATTAGATTGATGCAAACGAGGCTGAAGAAGACAAACATTGCTGCATGTTAATTTTCGGAATACGTCATGAAGTTCCTGTGGTTCGAAGCACATGTTTTAAAATCTGTTGTAATGCTGAATCCCAAATTCTTCTCAAAAGTTCAGCTTAGATACGAAACATCACACTGACAAAGGAGCGGCATAACCGGTGTGGCCTTTGATAAATTGCTCAGACGATCTTTCCTCATCAGAGTGTTAATTTGAGAAATATCATGAGGGGTATTAGCCGGTTGGAGGTGATCATCTTCATCACGTAAGACGGGCGAAGAGTCACAGTAGGAGATGAATAATAAAAGCCAGACAAAAACATCATCAAGTGTTCCTTTTACCTGCTGGGTATGCCGTTAAGAAAAAAAACGATTTTACAGTGGATGCACTGATTGTGAGATGCCATTTGTTTCTTCAACTCTGAAATATATTCAAGTAGTTTTTCCCTTTATGTTGAACATGTTCCAGAACTTGAAAATCCAGTAGAATTTGTGTATTGTTTTGCTCAGATTACATGCATAAAATCAGATTAAATTCAGATTATTTTCATGCAGTCAGAATCACTGAACAATGGTGAGAACTGCGTTTGTGTTTCACATTTCTTTTTACAACGGCCATCCATTTAAGCCTTGATTAAAAATTGATACAGTACTTTTACGAATCGAAACTTCTTCAGGAAATGAAATATTGTGATATTTCTGTGTGTTGATATTTTCTCACACCCTTAGTGTGACTGGATTACTGAGATACAAACCAATAGAGCTTTAAATACAGTTTTTTACTGCAGTTATTGCAACCGTTTACTCTCAAAATTGCCATATTGGAATTTGAGGTCGGCGCTGAACTTTCCAAGATGATATTCCAACTTTGGGGGACAATATGTTCTTTTTTTACTTCTGCATACAAATGTAATGAACCTTAACTCAGATGTCCTTGAGCAAGGATCTGGTTATTGTTCTTCAGCCATAATTTTTTTACACTGCTTGACC